TTATTTGGCGCATGTAGAATTGGAACACTTCACATGCATGTGAAAAAGCATTTTAACATATATGAAATCATGAAATTTTCGTAGGAGAAGACGGGTAGGATGCGGAGCTTATAATTTTGATGAGAGTTGTGACAAGACTTTTGATCAGTAACTCAGTCGGCAAGTCCGTGACTCTCATGCAACTCTTGTTCTCGTTTGAGAGTTGAGAAAACACTCGTGCAACTCGTTTGACAGCTGAGGTATTTCGCTGCGTAATAAGGTTTCGCTGCATGCGTAAGATCACATCATCAACTCTCATGAAACTCTTGTTTTCGTTTGACGGGGCATTGGAGCAACGCGGAGAAAATTCTCTCGCTTCTCAACTCTCACCAACTCTTTTATTGTTTACCGACTATAGAGCTGCTTCGCTCTTCGTCTACAACTTACCTGGCATTGTTTGCGTTTGCAGCAACAACGAAAATGGCGAACAGAATGTATCCAATCATATTGATTTCTCTGAAAAAAATTTAGTAACATTTTTAAGCATCTATAAATATATCTTATTTAATAAACTAAGTCATGAGTATAAAGTCAAGCGAGAAGTGTTTTCTCAGTTCCTTTCAACATTTCTTACAAATCCTTCAAAACTTAGAATTTACCGATGGAAAATTACTACTGTGATCACAGAAACTTTAAATCAGCCTTAGGAGCAAAAATGTAATTCAGTGCCAAATTTTTTTCCAAGCGTTCAAACAAAATCGAAATGACTGTATATATGAATTTTGCTTCTGCATGGATACAACGTTTTCAATTGTACCAACATATTAAGTAATAATATAGTTTCTCTCCGATCGTGCATGGCCGGTGGCCCTTTTTTTCTGAACGTTAGCAGACCTTAAACGTAATTAAGAAATCAATGTATAATAAAATGCCATACCTGATACTTCAAAAATGTCTTAATATTCCAGTAGATTTCCAAAGCTGTGAATGACTTATATTGAATATCCTACCAAGACCCAACTGCGGTTTATATAGCAAATGGTACAGTTAATTAATTCAGTTCTGAAAACAGTCATTACTGGGTCTTTCATGTGTTTTAGGGATCTATTCTACGCGGAAACACTTAGTTATTTGACCATATAGGAGGTTATGTGTAGCTACTTCAAAATGAGGACATGATTTGAGTTTTCACAAGGATTTTTATATTTTCTTCATGCGAGTTTGCGTAATCGCTTTTTCTGAGTACTAAAACTAATTAAATCAAGTGTATCTTCACTGTAAAATATTCTTAGTCAAAAACCGGGTGGAATAGATCTTCTCTCAAAATATTGATCAGTAAAAATACGATCATTCAGTCACGCGACTTGAATTAGCTGTTCTTAATGCTTTCCCAACACTATCATGTATTCTATTGAAGTTAAAACATAGTTGGAACACTCATCAAATTAACCTTTATTTTGTTAATCTAGAGCTTGAAATGTCCCTGTAACAATGCGTGACTGCGAACTCTCATCAACTCCTCGCTTAAGTATTTAAACTAAATATTTTACTTTTGGTAAAATTTCGTCAGTTTTTGAAAATTTTTAGTAATAAAATTTTTTGGTAAAATTCTGGTGAATTTTAGTTTTTAATTAATAATTCAGTAATTTGTGGGTTTTCAGGCTAACCGGCTATTTTGTCAACCTACGGGAGACACGTAAAAACGCACAAGTTGTTACAGATTTGCAAACAAGTTATTACAAATCAATCTGTTCACAAGCTGTCAACAAGTTGTGTTCGCACTGCTTGTTCCCAGTTGTTGTAACAAGTTTGGAACAAGCTGTTAACAACTTGTAACAAGCCTGGTGGCATTATCAGACTTGTTACAAGGTTGTTCTAACAAGTCTGATACATCACGATATACTGACATCTAATAATATCAATAAGGTTGTTTGTTACAAGTTATTTTAAAACAGTTTGTTCCAATCTTGTTGACAACTTGGGACAACAGTGCAAACAACAAGATGTGAGATTTGTACGCATGTAGTTGCCTTTTCGATAATTCATACTATTGTTTTTTTTAGGTAAACTGACGCATACATTAAGCTATAATACTTGTTTTGAATCTCTACTGTATATTGATTAATTAAACTACTTCACAAAATAAGTGTAGATGTTCTCCAAAATTACCGTACGAAAAAACACCCACGCCACGGCCTATGGGCTACATATACAATCACATGACGCCCGCTTATGCTGTGCATGCAAACAGATATAGATATATTCAAGGGTGGGTAGTAGCGAAGTAGTTGTAGTTCGCTACTGTAGCGAACTACAATTTTCAAGTAGCCAGTAGTTTTTGACTACTGTATTAAAACAGTAGCTGTAGTTATAGCGAACTACATTTTGCCTAAAAGTAGCCAAGTAGTTGCCTACTTTTCAAACAGCAAATCGCTATTCGCTACTTTTTAAAATTGTTGAGACACGGTTTACTTAAAATCAATCCTCAATGGTCAATTGCACTCTTGAACACTGTAGAGTGTAGTGTTTACAAAAATGTTGCTTTGTGTTTACTGTTGCTACTCGTAAGTCGATTTGTTATAGGTTACATTTCAGCCTGATGCTCCAAATACAGTAAAGCTAAAAAATATAGTGTAGCGAAATAGCGAAATAGTTCGCTACATTTTTAAAGCAGTAGCTGTAGTCAGTAGCGAACTACCTTTGTTCAAAAGTAGCAGTAGTTGTAGCTGACTACATATTTTTGAAGTAGCTGTAGTTATAGCAAACTACAAAAATTTTGTAGTCAACCCACCATTGGATATATTTGCTTTCATTCGAGATACTGCAGATATCTAATATGCCGCGGCTTCCATCGGACTCACTGTAATTTTTTGTGTCGGAATTGGGGATCTTCAACGCGCGCAGAACCACTTCAGTCAATTGTTAATTGTCATAGAAACTTTAAAAAATGATGTGTTTCGTGCATTTACTGATTCAAGGTTGTATCATTAGTTATATTGCTTAGAGAATGTTCTCTGCGGAAATGCTTATAGTTTTGGCCAGAAGTTTAAAATGGGGACATGATTTGAACGTTGACTACGAATGCAAGCATATATTCATACTCTTTATATGAACAACTTAAACCAATTAAACAACTTTGTGCTAAAGGGCCGCGGCTTTAACTGGAATGTCTGGAATAGGGCCCCGGGAGGTGGAGCTATACGTCAAAACGATGCAAAATTTGCTGAAACACATCAACTTCGCCCGCACTTTGTCATCCTTGTTCACACCCCCCCCCCCAAACGAGTTGGGCCCCTGGCTTCAGCCGGGCGGCGCCCAAAGAGGTAATACGCCACTGATTTAAATACTCCATACCACGCGAGCTCGCGCTCAGTAAAATCAAATTTGCTAATAATTTCATCAATATAGTTTTGAAAAATTTTACTAATAAAATTAATTTTTTTAGTAAAAATCGTTTTAGTAAAATTTAGTAAAAGCTTTAATTAGAGATTTCAGTATTAAGATTCAGTATTTTTTTGGTCAACATTTGTGTTCGATAATTGTGTATATTATAGCCGGTAAAACCTGCTACTTTCAAACAGGGAATAGAAAATAGTGAGTTATCGGGCTATAGTTGCCTTGTTGAAGTTATATATGCATGCATGACGGAACTATTATTTTTGATTAAAATAATACCTTTACTGCATTGAGCTAATACTTATTCAAACTTCGATATTATAGATTTTGATCAACCTAAGTAACCTGTATGTTTCCTGAAGTTATACACACGAACAAACATCCACAACCGGTTTAACAACAATAACTAAATTGAGATGCCTCTATATCTAAATCTTTTTGTCGCATCAAACTGTGCACGCAAAATTTGGTGCTTTCTTCATAAAGTTGCAGTATTTTACCGAAAACTAGCGCATATATCCGCTGGAATATTTAACATGCCTCCAATCGGACAGCTCATTCATTCTGCCACTGTTTTGTAATTTTTCGTGTCGGAATTTGTGTTCGACGTTCGCAAAACCACTTCAGTCAATTGTTAGGTGTCATAGAAACTTTAAAATTGATTTGTTTCGTGCGTTTATCCAAGGTTGAATCATTAGTTATATTGCTTATAGAGAATGTGGGAGTATACTTAATCTTTGTTCATGCAGGAGCCCAAAATGAAAATGGGGACATGATTTGAATGTACGTTGACAACGAATGCAAGAATTTTAACACTCTTTATATGCAACAACGTAAACTTATTTCCCCTGCATGGATTCGCCACACTGAGTCTTCTATTAGATCTGTGGGATTCGTCCATGACTTCAATATACTCAGAAACACGTTTATACAATCCGATTATAATTGTAAAGTTGTAACAATGAGTCTGTGGGGGCATGGAACTATATTTTGGCAAAATTCGTCGTGAACTTCGTTCTGGACGAAGGCAGAAGACCAAAGATGTACGGGATTTGGTTTCATGTCTCACTGTTTTGTCTGGGTCAGGGTCAGTATTCATAAACATCGACACATGAATCTATATAACGGGATTGAAGACACAATCATTCATTGAGCAAGCATGCACTGAGAGCAACTACCAGTTATCATAAAACTCAGTATATGCAAGATAATGTGGGCAAAAATTCAGTCAAGCGCATACTTCGTTGTCCTGTTCAAACAACAAAATGCAGAGGAACGAAAAATGACATTTTAGGGTAATTTAGTGATAACACTATCTTTTTATTCGCTAACTTCATCAAGTAGATTACAATTTTGGTGAGGCGTCCGCTGACTTGTGAGCTACATACGAAAATTCAATATTGGCAACTCCATAGGAACCCAGTTTGCCTTCCTTGGCCGAAACGACTATATTGAATTTAGTACTGCCGTCTTTTACTGGATTAACTGGACCTAAAAATACATCAGAATGGCAATTAGATGCATGCCTGATTTACATGTGCCGTTCATCTCTGTAATTGGCATTCGATCAGTTTCTAGAATATGCAGCTGTCTGAATGATTACACTTTGCCTCAATAGGCTTGGAAACCGCAACAGTTACGGGGCCATTTACTGCGGACCATTATGATACATTAAGTTTAATATCAACTAACATGCAATATTAACGATTACAATTAACAACAAAACATACAAACATATATACAGACATTGACAACATTAAGACATACAAACATTAAAAACAGCACATAGGAAGAGACAGAAGATTACGGGCTGAGCCACACTTAACACAAACTGACTTTCTATGTCCGTGCATCTTCAGAGTGCCGTTTACCGCTACCATTAAAGGGACTATTAGCCAATCAGATGCGTTTGATATATCCGATCAACCAATCAGATGTGTTTGATATATCCGATCAACCAATCACATGCATATACTAAGCCAATGAGAGGTAGCGGTGGTAAAAGTCGAATGGTAGAAGGCTAACTAATAAAGGACGACCTCACTGGATCAATACTGCTAATAACAGTTTATAGCTGATACAGATATCCATGCTGTATAAATGCAATCAGTTTAGTTTTAGAATTAAAAGAGGTTTTTACCTTCAATTGTGACGTGCGATTGAGTGCCGGATCTTTTGTAGTTAAGGGTGATGCCATAAATGGTATATTGCCTGTTCAGGTCCCCATCCACCCTCGTCCAATAATACGGAATAATAAGTCTGATAATAGGCCAATGGCATGTAATAAGTAATAACATAACAATGTAATAAGTCTGATAATAGGCCAATGGCATCAAGCTTGTTACAAGTTGTTAACAGCTTGTTCCAAACTTCTTACAACAACTGGGAACAAGCAGTGCGAACACAACTTGTCGACAGCTTGTGGCAACTTGTAACAACTTGTTTGCAGACCTGTAATAACTTTTTCGTTTTTACGTGTGTATATAGCGTCACAGACTCACAGTTGCCAGCAATTGTCGTCAGCAACATGCGAAGTCTCACGATTTTATAGGGTTCCGTTGTGGCTGCTTTCCTGTCGTGAGGTAGCCTACGTTCATGTGCGCACGCACCGATTATATGTTATCTATTCAACAAATACAAAGCACTGTTTCAAAGCCTATATCAAACGAGGTTGAAGTTATACAGCAACCATGTGTATACATCGAGATCAATCGGTTGGCATCTCACTCGATTCAATAATAGTTGAAGGTTCTTGTACATGGAAATTATCGAATGGAAAATTAAATACCTATACATTTATTAGAATCGATAATTTCCATTGAGGGTTAATTCGCTTTGAAAATCACGTACGCACGCTTAAAGCGGCGACACTGTAGAAGTTCGAAACTATGTTTCACCTTTCAAAAAGTGAAGCCCCCATGAGCCCCCCTTCCCCGCTTGTACGGTCCATGGATATTGCTAACTCTGCTGTTGCCCGTTTCACATTAGAATATGGAATGATATTTTTTAGTTTTGTCCTTTTCTTTAACTAATATTGTACGACAATGTACGTAAACACGAGTAATACACTGGACACAAAAATTAATGCGTTGTATTTTAATCAAGTATTTTTCAAAATGTATTATGACATGTTTTGGAGTAATTATCAACTATCTAATTAGTTAGCTGTGTATGTCCAAGTGATATGACCTGGCCCAGAGTTGCTACTGGTACGTAATGCTCCAACTATGAGATTCAGGTTCTGATTTCCTCCAACAACAGGGTTGGCTGGGCCTATAAAATGAACAAATTGAAATAAGGGCCTGCTCATATCAGCCGGGATGGCCCACGCAGTAAACCAGGGAAAATCCTGGAAATTAACTTGCTGAGCCAACCGCCTCGGTATGTTGCATGGCAGATAAGATGTGAGATTTTCGCGTGTGTGTACAACGTACCTGAAATGAGGACGGTTGCTACTTGACCAGTCCTCTGGTATACACATTGCACTCCTCCCTCAGAAAAATATTCCACCAAATCACCACTTTTAGTCCACCATGGATGACTAAGAGATCCACTATTTGCTCCTTTGTAACCAACAGCTATAAATATTTGAGTTAGTTTAGTTTTTTTTACAACGTAGAAACTTTCTAACTCGAACTCCCAAGAGAAGTGGAGAATTGATTCGAAAAATTGTTCGAGTTAGCCGCGCGAGGAGGCGAGTAAACGGAGTCGGTGTTAGATTTCGTTTATTGTTTAACAAGTAGATAAGATTTTACCATTGTCTGTTTAGTTATAGATACACAGTATGACGTCAAAAAGTGGCTCACGAGCAGTGGCGTAACGTCATATCAGGGGGCCCCCGGTTCAAAACTTTCGAAGGCCCCCCTAGTAGAAGTGCCAAAGGCACAAGTCAAGCGCCATATATGCACAAGTTTTCTAGGGGGTCCAGAGCATGCTCACCCGGAAAATTTTTGAATCTAGATTCTCTGAAATACCATTTCCCGGACTTTGGGGAGAGATTTTACAGAATTCTGATGGTCAGAAAACGAAATTGTAATATATCAAAGGCCCTGGCTAATGCTTTTGCTCTATAGCCTGAGCCTGGGGGCCCCATTTGGCCCATTGGGGTTGGGGGGCCCCCGGGTTCTCCCGGTCTGAGCCCATAGTAGTTACGCCACTGCTCACGAGCTGCCGAGGCGAGTGGGTGCAGAAGTATATACGTACTAATACTATAGTTAAAACATGAGCAGCCGATCTTTATATGATATACAAACTCGAGCAGAAGGCGAGATATATATACTATGCCATACTTCTTGTGTCCTCTATATCCGTAGTTTTACAGTTTTTCAAGCACTTTAACAAAGGTTGAAAAAATCACTATCCGGTGGATAGCGCTATCCGGCCTTCGTATAACCGGCCCCTGATAAAGATCGGATGCGAATGTTTTAGAAATGTGCTTAAAATACGACCCATCTTATGAGTTCATTGGCGAAGTAATTTTAAAAATAAACATTGTCTAAGCCGAGAAAATCAAAGCTGAAGTTTATGTAAATCAGGACAACTCTTTATCCGATTTACAAACATTGATTAAATTCTTTTGTATTTTCCTCGTGAATTACTAATGAATTTTTTAATTAGATTTCAAACACTCATTACTAATTCATAAGCTTATTGGCAAATCATGTCAACCATAATATGTCACGTGCAGTGGCTTTAAACCTGATAAAACACTCCTAATTAGTATTCTTTATATAAAGAATACTAATAAGGCAGTATCTATTGTTGTCGTGTCCTCATTAGTATTTTTTATATAAAGAATACTAATAAGGCTTTGTATTCGTGTTTGAAGCCGTTTAATAAACTCGCAGGTCGTGTTTTATTAGGTCTAAAGCCACTCGCGCTGCGCGCTCGTGTCTTTAAACCTAATAAAACACTCCTGCTCGTTTATTAAACAGTACATTATTATACGATTCTCCAGCAAATTATTATACGATTTATTATGCGAATAACTAATTCTTGATATAGTAATGCATGGTTGCACGCACAAAAAATAAACTAAACACTGTTCCAGAACACCGCGTGTGTACTCCATTTCATATCGTTCCAGAACAGTGTTCCAAATGTTCTAGAAAGGTAAATGGAGCAGTTTCATTGACTTACCAATTTTGACATTGTTCACATTATGGTTAGTGATTGTTATCTGAGTTGCGCCACGAGCTATGGCGAGAACTTCATTGGTCCAATGGCTGACATAGGTATCAGTAGGGATCTCATTGTATTGTCCTTGAATTGTCCCTGTATAAATATAGAGGACACATTTAGGGACTGCTCTTTGACGGTTTGAATTAAAAAATAATAATTGGGTAAAAAAAAGTTTTCTATTTAAAGGACATTAATTGGCAATAAAAAATTACTTTGTCCCCAGGACGAGCTGTTTTTAGTAAAAAAAAACCCACAAAGAGAGATACTTATAAAGATATAAAGAATTCAAATTTTGACACTTGCTAATTGCTATGTACTTAATCTGAATTATGAGGCGCAAAATGGCTGATTAAAAATTAATGGCTAAAACGTGCAGGATGTTTAACCCATTAAGTTGCATTGTGCCCCATGCAATTCGCCCTATACTTTATCATTTTACTCTGTCTAGCGCCAGACGAGTTTTCTCGCCAAGAGAGAGAGAGCTGGCACCACTGATCTAATAGATCAGTGGCTGGCACTCAATGGGTTGCAGAAAAATAGCAACATTACTATTCAGTAAAACGTCAACTTGTGAATAATGGTGATATGTTATACCCATGCACTATTTTATTTGATAAAAAGACCAGGTAAACTGATATCAATAGACCATGCTTCTATCTATAGGATGACTGTTTTAAAATATTCACCTGATTGTGCATTTAAAGCGTCTTGTTGTCTTTGATACGCTGCGTTATTCCAACCTGATAATCTGGATACAAAAAGAGACATTGTTTATAGCGCCTGCAGCCCGATCTCAAACCACAACATATCACATATGGAAAATTCACATATCATTTCACATGTGAATTTTAGGTGGAATTGGAACATCACACGCATAAATGCTTGTTTCGTAAGTGAAAGTTCTAAAACTTTCACACATGTGAAATTTTACATACTCTTTCACATGTGAAATTAAGGATCATAGGTAAAAATTAATTCACATGTGAAATTATAATTATTTGGCGTATGTCGAATTGCAACACTTCACATGCATGTGAAAAAGCATTTTAACATATGTGAAATCATGAAATTTTCGTACGAGAAGACGGGTTGAATGCGGAGCTTATAATTTTGATGAGAGTTGTGACAAGACTTTTGATCAGTCAGTCGGCAAGTCAGTGACTCTCATGCAACTCTTGTTCTCGTTTGAGAGTTGAGAAAACACTCGTGCAACTCGTTTGACAGCTGAGGTATTTCGCTGCGTAATAAGCTTTCGCTGCATGCGTAAGATCACATCATCAACTCTCATGAAACTCTTGTTTTCGTTTGACGGGGCATTGCAGCAACGCGGAGAAAATTCTCTCGCTTCTCAACTCTCACCAACTCTTTTATTGTTTACCGACTAGAGCTACTTCGCTCTTCGTCTACAACTTACTTGGCATTGTTTGCGTTTGCAGCAACAACGAAAATGGCGAACAGAATGTATCCAATCATATTGATTTCTCTGAAAAAAATTTAGTAACATTTTTAAGCAGCTATAAATATATCTTATTTAATAAACTAAGTCATGAGTATAAAGTCAAACGAGAAGTGTCTCTCAGTTCCTTTCAACTTTTCTTACAAATCCTTCAAACTTAGAATTTACCGATGGAAAATTACTACTGTGATCACAGAAACTTTAAACCAGCCTTAGGAGCAAAAATGTAATTCAGTGCCAAATTTTTTGCCAAGCGTTCAAATAAAATCGAAATCACTGTATGAATTTTACTTCTGCATGATATAACTTTTTCAATTGTACTAACATATATTAAGTAATAGTATCAGGTTTCTCGTGCAATTTGGAAAGACTTCCAAAGACTTCAAATTGCCTCGTTTTTGAAAAACTCCTTCGATCGTGCATGGCCGGTGGCCCTTTTTTTCTGAACGTTAGCAGACCTTAAACGCAATTAAGAAATGAATGTATAATAAAATGCCATACCTGATACTTCAAAAATGTCTTAATATTCCAGTAGATTTCCAAAGCTGTGAATGACTTATATTGAATATCCTACCAAGACCCAACTGCGGTTTATATAGCAAATGGTACAGCTAATTAATGCAGTTCTGAAAACAGTCATTATACTGGGTCTTTCATGTGTTTTGGGGATCTATTCTACGCGGAAACACTTAGTTCTTTGACCATATAGGAGATTATGTGTAGCTACTTCAAAATGAGGACATGATTTGAGTTTTCACAAGGATTTTTATATTTTCTTCATGCGAGTTTGCGTAATCGCTTTTTCTGAGTACTAAAATTAATTAAATCAAGTGTATCTTCACTGTAAAATATTCTTAGCAAAAAACGGGGTGGAATAGATCTTCTCTCAAAATAGTGATCAGTAAAAATACGATCATTCAGTCACGCGACTTTAATTAGCTGTTCTTAATGCTTTCCCAACACTATCATGTATTCTATTGAAGTTAAAACATAGTTGGAACACTCATCAAATTAACCTTTATTTTGTTAATCTAGAGCTTGAAATCTCCCTGTAACAATGCGTGACTGCGAACTCTCATCAACTCCTCGCTTAAGTTTGTAAACTAAATATTTTACTTTTGGTAAAATTTCGTCAGTTTTTGAAAATGTTTAGTAATAAAATGTTTTGGCAAAATTCTGGTGAATTTTAGTTTTTAATTAATAATTCAGTAATTTGTGGGTTTTCAGGCTAACCGGCTATTTTGTCAACCTACGGGAGACATGTTATACATGATGTAAAAACGCACGAGTTGTTACAGGTCTGCAAACAAGTTGTTACAAATTTGTTCATGCACAAGCTGTCAACAAGTTGTGTTCGCACTGCTTGTTCCCAGTTGTTGTAACAAGTTTGGAACAAGCTGTTAACAACTTGTAACAAGCCTGGTGGCATTATCAAACTTGTTACAAGGTTGTTCTAACAAGTCTGATACATCACGATATAACAAGGTGTTACAAGGTTGACGGCACAAGGTTGTAACAATATTGTTATATCATAATTGTATCGGACTTGTTGGAACAACCTTTAAACAAGTCTAATAATATCAATAAGGTTGTTACAAGTTATTTTAAAACAGTTTGTTCCAATCTTGTTGACAACTTGGGACAACAATGCAAACAACAAGATGTGAGATTTGTATGCGTGTAGTTGCCTTTTCGATAATTCATACTATTGGGGTTTTTTAGGTAAACTGACGTACACATTAAGCTATAATACTTGTTTTCAATCTCTACTGTATATTGATTAATTAAACTACTTTACAAAATAAGTGTAGATGTTCTCCAAAATTACCGTACGAAAAAACACCCACGCCACGGCCTGGGCTACATATACAATCACATGACGCCCGCTTATGCTGTGCAAACAGATATAGATATATTCAAGGGTGGGTAGTAGCGAAGTAGTTGTAGTTCGCTACTGTAGCGAACTACAATTTTCAAGTAGCCAGTAGTTTTTGACTACTGTATTAAAACAGTAGCTGTTGTTATAGCGAACTACATTTTGCCTAAAAGTAGCCAAGTAGTTGCCTACTTTTCAAACAGCAAATCGCTATTCGCTACTTTTTAAAATTGTTGAGACACGGTTTACTTAAAATCAATCCTCAATAGTCAATTGCACTCTTGAACACTGTAGAGTGTAGTGTTTACAAAAATGTTGCTTTGTGTTTACTGTTGCTACTCGTAAGTCGATTTGTTATAGGTTACATTTCAGCCTGAGTTAGTAGATGCTCCAAATACAGTAAAGCTAAAAAATATAGCGTAGCGAAATAGCGAAATAGTTCGCTACATTTTTTAAGCAGTATAGGTGTAGTCAGAAGCGAACTATACCTTTGTTCAAAAGTAGCAGTAGTTGTAGCTGACTACATATTTTTGAAGTAGCTGTAGTTATAGCGAACTACAAAAATTTTGTAGTCAACCCACCATTGGATATATTTGCTTTCATTCGAGATACTGCAGATATCTAATATGCCGCGGCTTCCATCGGACTCACTGTAATTTTTTGTGTCGGAATTGGGGATCTTCAACGCGCGCAGAACCACTTCAGTCAATTGTTAATTGTCATAGAAACTTTAAAAAATGATGTGTTTCGTGCATTTACTGATTCAAGGTTGTATCATTAGTTATATTGCTTAGAGAATGTTCTCTGCGGAAATGCTTATAGTTTTGGCCAGAAGTTTAAAATGGGGACATGATTTGAACGTTGACTACGAATGCAAGCATATATTCATACTCTTTATATGAACAACTTAAACCAATTAAACAACTTTGTGCTAAAGGGCCGCGGCTTTAACTGGAATGTCTGGAATAGGGCCCCGGGAGGTGGAGCTATACGTCAAAACGATGCAAAATTTGCTGAAACACATCAACTTCGCCCGCACTTTGTCATCCTTGTTCACACCCCCCCCCCCAAATGAGTTGGGCCCCTGGCTTCAGCCGGGCGGCGCCCAAAGAGGTAATACGCCACTGATTTAAATACTCCATACCACGCGAGCTCGCGCTCAGTAAAACCAAATTTGCTAATAATTTCATCAATATAGTTTTGAAAATCTTTACTAATAAAATTAATTTTTTTAGTAAAAATTGTTTTAGTAAAATTTAGTAAAAGCTTTAATTAGAGATTTCAGTATTAAGATTCAGTATTTTTTTGGTCAACATTTGTGTTCGATAATTGTGTATATTATAGCCGGTAAAACCTGCTACTTTCAAACAGGGAATAGAAAATAGTGAGTTATCGGGCTATAGTTGCCTTGTTGAAGTTATATATGCATGCATGATGGAACTATTATTTTTGACTAAAATAATACCTTTACTGCATTGAGCTAATACTTATTCAAACTTCGATATTATAGATTTTGATCAACCTAAGTAACCTGTATGTTTCCTGAAGTTATACACACGAACAAACATCCACAACCGGTTTAACAACAATAACTAAATTGAGATGCCTCTATATCTAAATCTTTTTGTCGCATCAAACTGTGCACGCAAAATTTGGTGCTTTCTTCATAAAGTTGCAGTATTTTACCGAAAACTAGCGCATATATCCGCTGGAATATTTAACATGCCTCCAATCGGACAGCTCATTCATTCTGCCACTGTTTTGTAATTTTTCGTGTCGGAATTTGTGTTCGACGTTCGCAAAACCATTTCAGTCAATTGTTAGGTGTCATAGAAACTTTGAAATTGATGTGTTTCGTGATTTTATCCAAGGTTGAATCATTAGTTATATTGCTTATAGAGAATGTGGGAGTATACTTAAATCTTTGTTCATGCAGGAGCCCAAAATGAAAATGGGGACATGATTTGAATGTACGTTGACAACGAATGCAAGAATTTTAACACTCTTTATATGCAACAACGTAAACTTATTTCCCCTGCATGGATTCGCCACACTGAGTCTTCTATTAGATCAGTGGGATTCGTCCATGACTTCAATATACTCAGAAACACGTTTATACAATCCGATTATAATTGTAAAGTTGTAACAATGAGTCTGTGGGGGCATGAAACTATATTTTGGCAAAATTCGTCGTGAACTTCGTTCTGACGAAGGCAGAAGACCATGCAAAGACGTACTGGATATGGTTTCATGTCTCCGGCGCTGTTTTGTCTGGGTCAGGGACAGTACGTATTCATAAACAGCGACACATGAATCTATATATAACGGAAAGACACAATCGTCAATCATTCAGCAAGCACTGAGAGCAACTACCAGTTATTCTAAAACTCAGTATATGCAAGATAATGTGGGCAAAAATTCAGTCAAGCGCATATATACTTCGTTGTCCTGTTCAAACAACAACACGGAGGAACGAAAAATGACATTTTGAGAGTAATTTAGTGATAACACTATCTTTTTATTTGCTAACTTCGTGAAGTAGATTACAAGTATGGTGAGGCGTCCGCTGACTTGTGAGCTACATACGAAAATTCAATATTGGCAACTCCATAGGAACCCAGTTTGCCTTCCTTGGCCGAAACGACTATATTGAATTTAGTACTGCCGTCTTTTATTGGATTAACTGGACCTAAAAATACATCAGAATGGCAATTAGATGCATGCCTGATTTACATGTGCCGTTCATCTCTGTAATTGGCATTCGATCAGTTTCTAGAATATGCATGCAGCTGTCTGAATGATTACACTTTGCCTCAATAGGCTTGGAAACCGCAACAGTTACGGGGCCATTTACTGCGGACCATTATATATGATACATTAAGTTTAATATCAACTAACATGCAATATTAACGATTACAATTACCAACAAAACATACAAACATATATACAGACATTGACAACATTAAGACATACAAACATTAAAAACAGCACATATATAGGAAGAGACAGAAGATTACGGCTGGACTACACTTAACACAAACTGACTTTCCATGCATGTCCGTGCATCTTCAGAGTACCGTTTACCGCCACATTAAAGGGACTATATATTAGCCAATCAGATGCGTTTGATATATCCGATCAACCAATCAGATGTGTTTGATATATCCGATCAACCAATCACATGCGTATACTAAGCCAATGAGAGGTAGCGGTGGTAAAAGTCGAATGGTAGAAGGCTAACTAATAAAGGACGACCTCACTGGATCAATACTGCTAATAACAGTTTATAGCTGATACAGATATCCATGCTGTATAAATGCAATCAGTTTAGTTTTAGAATTAAAAGGGGTTTTTACCTTCAATTGTGACGTGCGATTGAGTGCCGGATCTTTTGTAGTTAAGGGTGATGCCATAAATGGTATATTGCCTGTTCAGGTCTCCATCCACCCTCGTCCAATAATACGGAGCGCTGGCCGAGTGTGAGCCTTTTATACCAACGACTATAGAAATACACAAACGTAATTATACAAGTCGATAACAAGTTATGCCCATCTCACTCGTTTAAATACTGAATATAATTGGAGAGTTGGGTGAATGGAAATTATTAAGTGGAATTTCTATATACATTTCTTAGATCTAATCAGAAACAGTTGCGAAAACTGCGATTATAGGTCTTCTGGCAGGAATCGAATCTGCGACCCTGCGATTCCGGTGCAGCGCTCTAACCAAATCAGCTACAGAGAGACAGTTTGTCGAGCTCTGACCACAAGTTCAACTATAGGTCCCTGCGATTCCGGTGCAGCGCTCGAACCAACTGAGCTATAGAGACCTATAGTTGCATTTCGGCAGCTGTTCCTGGTTAGATCTAATAAATGTATACATTTGTCGAGTTGTCGAGCTCCAACCACAAGTTTTTGCATATATACTAGAGTACTGCCGTGCTAGGTATGGATAAATATCAAGATTTTGTAAGCATCTCATTCGTTTGAATAATAGTATTGGAGGGGGGGGAGGGGGTTGTTAGATGGTGATTGGTGATTATCAATTGTTATTTATCCATACCTTAGCACGGCAGTACCCTGGTATATTTACATGCATTTTCGGCAGCTGCAGGGTACATGGTTATAGATCTAATAAATGTACCAAGCCCTCAAACTGTGCTGTTAAACACTGTGTTAGGGAAACTTAGGTAACAGTAGTATACTAATACAAAATTTGTAAGTTCTTTATTAAGAGTGCACCGTATTGACTCACAATTGTGATAAATAATAAAACGATCATACTTATTTAAAATTATTCAATCCAATACGGCAATACTGACCTCATTAACTTGAATCCCCCCTAACTTGAATCCCCCTTAACTTGAACAATTGTTCGCTTCACGTGGAAAATTTCAATTTGCGGGGTTCCTACTGTATTTGCAGGCGTGTAAAACTAATGACTTACGGATTTGGACTTTGTTGGTATTGTAGTTCGTGATCTTGATATTGGTTGCACCACGTGGTAGCGTTGCGATTTCATTCCTATAGTCGCCACTGTATGAACCTTGCGGTACCTTTTTATACTCTCCTTTTATCAACCCTGCATAGATAGACAAGAGATTTATTTATAAGGAACAGTTCAATCAGTTCTAAACTCTCAATCCCCCTATTGGGGTGAGGGGGGGGGGGGAGAATGACTCTTCCCAGCAGCTAGTGCTCGTGCAATTTTGGCAAACTTTACCACCATTACACGTTAATCCTTAATTAATTGTACTCGTCATTCTTTGGAGATGTCAGGAATTCTTCGATAAGTGAGCTATACCGCAACTAAATTACTGAACTAACTTAATTAATGGTCTAGCACTAAAGCTGTTATTTTATCCTATTATCTCCTCACTTTATCATTTTACTCTGTTTAACGCCAGACGATTTTACTCGTCAGGGGGAGAGTGCTGCCACTCAATGGGTTAAATTAAAAATGTCCTTGTCCACTTAAGTGCGTACCATCTTGTGCCTTCAATTTCACCTGTTGTTGTTTCCACGCATTCACATCATAACTTTGGATTCTGTAAACAAAATGAAAATATATAACAGCAGCGGCCGACCTAAAATACTTCCCCTGGTTCGCGAAGCTTCGGAAGCTCACCGCACTACATCAAAACGAAAACAATATTAACAACAGTAACCACCACAACAGGGACAACAATTAGCAACACCAGCAGCAGCAACAGCAACAGCAACAGCAACAACAACAACAACAACAAAGCAGCAGCAACGACAGTGACAACAATGACAACGTTGACGACGACAACGACGACGACGACAACAACGGCAACAACGACAACAACAACGACAACGACAACAATTAGTAACAACAAAAGTAATAACAACACAGCAGGGACGACGCTAACGATAACAACAACAACAACAACAACGACGACAACGACAACGACAACGACAACAACAACAACAACAACAACAACAACAACAACAACAACAACAACAACAGCAACAGCAACAGCAACAGCAACAACAACAACAACAACAACAACAACAACAACAACGACAACGACAACGACAACGACAACGACAACGACAACGACAACGACAGCAACAACAACAGCAGTAACATGAACAACAATTAATGTACCACCACTGAACAAAAACCAACAGCAGTAAGAAAAATCGACAATGAGACTAATTTGTGCAGACATGTATAACTTACTGTGCATCATATTTAGTTGATGTTTCTTCTTTGTGAGCTGTGTACGAAAATTCAATATTGGCAACTCCATAGGAACCCAGTTTGCCTTCCTTGGCCGAAACGACTATATTGAATTTAGTACTGCCGTCTTTTACTGGATTAACTGGACCTAAAAATGTAATTGGGATACAGTTTCTGGAATATACAGTTGTCTGATTACACTTTGCCTCAACAAGCTTGGAAACCGCAACAACTATGACCATTTACTGCGGACCATTATGATACATTAAGTTTACTATCAACTAGCCTAACACGCAATATTAACGATTACAATTACCAACAAAACATACAAACATGTATACAGACATTGACAACATTAAGACATATACATACAGACATTAAAAACAGCAGATAGGAAGAGACAGAAGATTACGGGCTGAGCCACACTTAACACAAACTGACTTTCCATCGGCATCTTCAGAGTACCGTTTATACCATTTAAAGGGAATATTAGCCAATCATATGCGAGTGATATATGTGCCTTTGATACGTGTTGTTTTTAGATTTAATTTTCAGAAGTACCTTTTCACATTGGTATCTATATGGGGCCTGTTCAGGGTTTTGCTGAAGGTTTAGGATTGTGAGGGTTTCAAACGTCTTCTGACTCAGTCAGCTTCCAAAAATGGAAGTGGTTCTGCGGGTCGCAATGTGAAAAGTTGCATCTGATAGTTCGTTAGTAATTGTATGATTCTTTCTATGTTCGCGTATATAGTGTATTTGTCTAACATTTAGGGATCGCAGTAATTGGCGCAAGCTGTTGCGATTGCCCTGCCAGTTTTTTTGTGTTAACGTTGTTTAAATCTGGCAAAGTTAATAAATAAATAAATATATCCGATCAACCAATCAGATGCGTACTAAGTGAGAGGTAACGGTAGTGGAAGTCGAATGTGAACCTCTCTAATATTTCACGTCACTCGCACGTGAGAAGAGTGCTTCTAGTTTGACGTTATGTACCAGATTATAATACCACAGATTTCCTCTGGGGAGGTTGTATCAGAATTCGTCCTGTATTATATTGTTGGGAAGTTCCTTAGTAGATGTCTATACGATTAACTTTATAAATTTCATCCTTTAGTAAGCAAGTAAATAAGTAGCCATGCAAGCGACGATTCCCGTCGCTTAATGGCGTAAGAATAACGTCTGCGAGCAGGCTAACTAATAAGGGACGCCCTCACTGGATCACTACTGCTAATAACAGTTTAGAGCTGATACAAATATCCATGCAGTATAAATACAATCAGTTTAGTTTTAGAATTAAAAGGAGTTTTTACCTTCAATTGTGACGTACGATTGAGTGCCGGATCTTTTGTAGTTAAGGGTGATGCCATAAATGGTATATTGCCTGTTCAGGTCTCCATCCACCCTCGTCCAATAATACGGAGCGCTGGCCGAGTGTGAGCCTTTTATACCAACGACTATAGAAATACACAAACGTAATACAAGTCGACAACAAGTTGTGCCCATCTCACTCGTTTAAATAATATAGCTGGAGATTTTGGTAGATGGTAATGATTTAGTGGAAATTCTATTTATCACTTATTTACTGAGACCGAGGGGAACAGTGTGTTTTGTGGACCCGATCATGAGACAGCCGTTGTTGCCCGATCATAACAGAGGCGAAGCCGAGGGCAACAACGGCGGTCGAGGGGTCACAAAACACACTGCTTTCGGCTTTTCCGAGGTCTCAGAAAATAAGTGTTTTCTTATCTAGTACATATAAGCTGTGAACTTAATTTGAAACCAAAATTGGATAAATGGAACGCCGTAAATGTTTAATAAAAAGTTGGTAGATGGTAATTATCAAGTCATGGAAATTCTATATATACACTTGATATTTATCGGTACCTAATTAGCACGGCAGTACCCTGGTATATACATGAATTTCCGGCAGCTGTTCCTGGTTAAATCTAATAAATGTATTGTATATAGATCATCCACTGGATAATTTCCATCTACCAAGCCCTTCAACTGTACTGTTAAATACTGTAATAGGGAAACTTAGGGAACAGTATAGTACACTAAAACAAACTTTGTAAGTTCCTTATTAAGGGTGCACCGTAATGGCTCACAATTGTGATAAATAACAAAACGACTATACTTATTAAGAGGAGATTTTTTTGTATGTGTAACACGCGCTCAAAACTAATGCGCGTATAATATATCACTTGAGGTTATGACTATAATTCAAAATTTTTAGTTTTCGATACGTTTCTCAATCGGCAAACAAACTTATAAAGTATGTTTAGTGCTTTATCTGTAAAATAATGCTAAAATAAAGAGATTTTAGATGATATACGCCAAAGAGAAAATCATATCTGAAGTTCAGTAAGTTTTGCTTATATGTACCGAAGCCGTGAAGGGACGTCAGACTTCGGACTTCAGACACTGAGTATAAAGATCAGTAACAGAAGGGCCACTCAGCGGTGCATGTAACGTGTCGCCCAGCATGCGTAATGCGACATGCGCGGGGACAGCAGCTTTCAAGCTTCCAACGTAAGTGGCCCTTCTGTATGGATCTTTATTCTGCGCTTCAGACTTCACACTTCACACTTCAAACATTGGTTCCGAGCTTCGCTAATAGCCAACATTGCTTTTGCGAAGCTGGTTAATATTTGAGGCACTTATTCAGTCAAAGCTATTCAAACTAAAGCCAAAAATGGTAAGAACGATTTAGACTGTAAATGCAGACAGTTGGAATATGATGTTATATACTGCTATTTTAATTAAGATTGTCCCCAAGCAAAGCGCTAAAGCGGAAAAGTCGAATACGAGCGCGAAAGGCTTGCTGGGAATCGCTAAAAAATTAATGATTTTTTTTAATAATAAGAAAATAATAAATAAATAATAGTAATAACAAATTTAATAAATTTAAAGTAATAAATTTAATTATTCAATCCATACAATACTGACCCCATTAACTTGAATCCCCGCTAGTTTGCGGGGTTCCTACTGTATTTACAGGCGTGTAAAAGTAATGACTTACGGAGTTGGACTTTGTTGGTATTGTAGTTCGTGATCTTGACATTGGTTGCACCACGTGGTAGCGTTGCGATTTCATTCCTATAGTCGCCACTGTATGAACCTTGCGGTACCTTTTTATACTCTCCTTTTATCAACCCTGCATAGATAGACAAGAGATTTATTTATAAGGAACAGCTTAATGAGTTCTAAACTCTCAATCCCCCTGTTGGGGGGGGGGGGAATAACCCTTCCCAGCAGCTAGCGCTCGTACAATTTTGGCAAAGTTTAACACCATTACACGTTAATCCTTAATTAATTGTACTCGTCATTCTTTGGAGATGTCAGGAATTCTTCGACAAGTGAGCTATACCGCAACTAAATTACGGAACTAACTTAATTAATGGTCTAGCACTAAAGCTGTTATTTTATAATTATCCTATTATCTCGTCACTTTATCATTTTATTCTGTTTAACGCCAGACGATTTTACTCGTCAGGGGGAGAGTGCTGCCACTCAATGTGTTAAATTAAAAATGTCCTTGTCCACTTAAGTGCGTACCGTCTTGTGCCTTCAATTTCACCTGTTGTTGTTTCCACGCATTCACATCATAACTTTGGATTCTGTAAACAAAATGAAAATATATAACAGTAGCGGCCAACCTAAAATACTTATAAATATCAAATAAACACAGCATCGTGCCCTGGTTCAAAGCTTCGGAAGCTCACCGCACTACATCAAAACGAAAACAATAATAACAACAGTAGCCACCACAACAGGGACAACAACAACACCAGCAGCAGCAACAACAACAACAGCAACAACAAAGCAACAGCAACGTCAGTGACAACAATGACAACAACATCAGTAGCAGCAGCAACAACAACAACAACAAAAACAACAGCAACGACATTGACGACGACGACGACGACGACGACGACGACGACGACAACAACAACGACAACAACAACAACAACGACAACAACAACAACAACAACAACAACAACAACAACAACAACAACAACAACAACAACAACAACAGTAACTTGAACAACACTGAATTAATGTACCACCAGAACAAAAACCAACAGCAGTAAGAAAAATGGACAATGAGACTAATTTGTGCAGATATGCATAACTTACTGTGCATCATATTTAGTTGCCACCACATTAACTGATGCGTCTTCTTTGTGAGCTGTGTACGAAAATTTAATATTGGCAAGTCCATAAGAACCTTGTTCCCCCTTTGCGGCAACAATGCATAAATTATACTGAGTACTGCCGTCTTTTACTGGATTCACTGGACCTAAGAATAAATTCATGATCAGAATTTTACCAACAGATAACCATTCACTACACTGAAAGTTCGAGCAAGAAAAAACACAATATATATTCCTATCTCATTCCGTCAAAAACGTGTTTTAGAAGTATTTTACCGTCAATTGTAATCCGCGATTGAGTGCCAGATCTGAAGTAATGAACGTTGACGCCATTATAATTATGTTCTATTTGCTGGTTCACGTCTTCAGGCACCCTTTTCCAATGAGACGGGATGTTGCCATAATGTGACCCTTTGATACCAACCACTGTGAAAATTTAAAATCAAAGGCAAGTTAGAGTAGCGAACCATTATACACGCGTAAAAATTGAGAAAATCAACAACTTGTTCCAGGTTGATATCAACAGGCGTGAACAAGGTTGTGCGGCCCACTATGGACAGTATTAGACAGATTTAGATCGAGGACGCGGACGTCAAAGACGACGTGAAAATGGCGTGTCGTGCCCATGTATGGATATGCCACGCCATTTTGACGCCATTTTCACGTCGTCTTTGACGTTCCGCGTCCTCAAGCTAAATCTGTCTATTGTCAACATGTTGTTGCAGCATTGT